ACTGCCTGCACACGGAAAAGGCCATTGCTAATGTGTCTCAACACCATCATACGTCAACAAGTATGATGGAGGAACTAATTACCTCCTTTCCTAAGCACTCCCCATGTGTGAGCTTTCCACATCCTTGCTCATTTCTGAAAGGAACAGTTAGAAATAATTCACTGATTTATAAATTATAACTGGACATCTATCGGTGTGGAAAAGCTGAATTCAATGGTTTCTGCTTTCAAAGCCACTTGTTTTCATGCCTCTTCAGAACTTTTCCACACAGCTTCTGTATTTGCAACAACTTTTTTTCAAAAGCCATCTCAAATTCCACCAGTTTATGTTTTCTAGCTAAACATTAACTTTGGTTTCTGTGACATTTTCCCCAGTTTCTATACAAGCCGTGGGTGTGTTCCTCACCTAAAACCCCCTCCCCAATTTGCTCTTGCCCTCGCACACATGCATCTCGTCTATTTCCAGCTCTGTCTCTCCAGACAGACAGCAATCAATGTGATCAGATTTGCACAAATGATTATATAGCAGTGTCTTGTTTTCCTCTACCAGCACATCAGATGGTTGCACCATATAGGCGGGCATTTTCATCTGCAATCTGTCACTGTGTTTCATTGAGGCTGAAGACACATGTAGGTTGAGAGGAGGTTGTCATTCACAAGCAGGTTCACACAGGCAGGAGACAGTGACTCAACCCACTCCAGCCATGAAAAGGCACTGGGGTGATCTCACACCTGAATGGTTCCAGTGACGCAGCCACAATGGGATCCTACCACCACCACCACCAGCCATCAGAGCCTGGATCCTCCTCTGACATGCTGGGATATATTTTCAGAAGCAGCACAGCATCATTACTCCCCACGTTTCTCATCAAGAAAGTTGTGGATAGCAGCCTCACTGGGCTCCATCAGGAGAACAGGATGGTTTGGCTTTGGCCCTTCTTCGTGCTTTTTTGTTTCATTTTTTTTGGCAATGTCTTACTTGCCATCTGCCTGTTACTCCTTCCCCATGAAGAACCTGACCTTTACAAATCATCAGGTTAATGACATCTCATTACTGCACCTGTGACCCAGGTTATAATTAGCCACTTCAGACAAATTTGGGCCAGGAAGCTCAGAATTCATAGTCAAGGCTTGAGCACCTACTGGGAAGCTCAGTCCCAAAACCAGGTCATGTTGAACCAGCCAGCACATCAAGACCCACTGACAGAGGGGAGGAATTATCTTTCCTACAGTTTACAAACTACTTTTCATGCCAGAGATCAGTTAAAAGACTGGAAAACTTAAATTGTCCCCAGAACAACAGAAAAAGCTGTGTTCCTAGGCAGGCTTCCTAACTGGAGCCTGAACCAAAAAACCCAAGCTGCATGAATTCCTCTGGGATGACACTTTCCACCCAGAAAAAGGGTGTGATTTGTAATGCCAACAGATCCCCAACCTGAGGCTAAGCTGTGTTCATGCAACCAGAGATTGCACCCATTTAAAAGAACAAGCTGACTAAAATAGGTAAGAGCAACCTCAGCCAGCAGAGAAGACAAACACTATACTGAAGTCAGGGAAGCATTTAGTCCTTTTAAGAACAGTTCACAAAGCACTAAGACAAGGTCTGCAGAAGTCACAGATAGTTGTAGGTGGTGTTGCAAAACTTTTTTTGTTGGGTTTTTTTTGTTTCCCTGTTCATAATTTGTAAAATAAGGCAGGAACAGCCCACGATTCACAAAAACAAGCACTGCTCACACAGACTATTCCAAACTATTTATGCATTGTTCCACTGGCAAATCATCATATGCTTCAGCTGTCGTAACAAATGCTGGGATGTCCTGAAGTGTGTCTATGGAAAACTTCAACTGAAGCCATCATGCTTCTGCATACTCAGACATACAGACAGTGAACACCATGACAAACAAAACACTAAAAATCCTCTTCTTCCACTCCTCCCTGTGCACAACTCAATGAAAGAAGCCTATGTCCTTCCCTAAAAATAAAAATAATACAAATTCTAGATTATGAGCTCATTGTTTTCTCCCTGCT